GAGTGTTCATGGTTTGTTTACATATTCTGATGTTGCCAGAAACCTTTTCTGGTGTAGTTATAGAAGGATCATTGTTTACATGATAATGTGGCATATGCAGATGTATGACAAAGCACAATTTCAAATTGTGCTTTGTCTCTTCTCTAAAGGAGGCCTAGATGCATCTCTGGGTTACTGAAGTGAGAAATCAGCTTTGTACATGGATATTTAAATATAAAATCCTCAACAAGCATGTTTCAGAAGGAGACACGCGTCTCTATCTGGAGTCCTAATCTGAACCTCAGGGGATGTTTGTGTAGCAGTGCTCTGACTTAGAAAGATGTGACTAATTGTTGGCAAAACAAAATCTCTGGTGTAATGCAGCATTCACGACAAGCAGGACGCTCACTTGATGCCCCTGGAGGGAAATTCATTGAATTCATTGCTTTTGGTGTGCGCACGCCTGCAGTGTTTAATTTTCTGTCTAAACTCGTCTCATGCACTGATAATCTGAGATTTAGATGAGTCTCACATTTAATCTATTTACATTTCCTCTGTCATCGCGCTGTTCATCTAAACTGTACGAGGACTGTTTGAACCTGGAGGTCTTGCTGCTGCCTCTCTGTCTACCCGTGTTCAACTTTCTCCTGCAGTCAGCTTCTAGACTTTATGCGTCTGCCTAATGACAGGCTGCGCTTTCAAAAGAGGATGTGGAAAAAGCAAGCTCTGGCAGGTTAGAAAAGCACACTTTGCTCTGCGTACTGTAACAGTTTCAGAAAGTTGCATGTCTGGAATTTGAGTGGAGTTAATGTTTAATGTGTCTCTCCACCCCAGGAGACAGAGATTTAAAGGGTCTGCGGTTGGATCTCTTGGCACCACACATGCTGCGCATTTCAATATTTCAACTAATATGAAAGTGAAGCATGTCGGCTGTCTGCTGTTGGCGATCTATAATCTATTAACACACAGAATGAGATAAAAAAGCTTCTTTAAAAAGCTCTCATCTTGTCCGTCAGAAGATCAAACCAGCAGCAATCTCCTATTAAACCCAGTTTATTAACTCATCGTTAACTTCATATTGAATTCCTGAGCTTATCTGCCTCACGATTGTAGCGTCAGTCAATGCTGATAACACTCTGTCAGTGTTTGGTGCTCTGAGATGACCCTGAACATAGTTTGACTTGTTAAGAGCCATAAATTGAAAGCTGCCTGTTGTGTCAAACACTCATTCAGGCTCCAACCTCATATGTCGACTTGAGATGTTTTGGTTTCTTAGAACGATGATTCATTCTAATGCTGAAACAATGAGTCGATGAGGTCTGGACCCAGGCATATGATTGGATTAGGGTGGGCATTGCAAGTTAGCTGAGGCTGTATATGTTGTGGTATGTGGTTCATTCTATACTTCAGACAGGCCCCCTTTTTGGGTCAAGACCCATGCTTTCACTGAGAGAAACAGGACATTGTTGAGAAGCCGTTGTGCAGCAGGTTACAGAGGCTTTCACACTGAGATTTGAGGCACATAAACATGAATATTCACTGTCAGTGTGGTTAATCACTAAATGATGCTGGTGACTGTTTGTCAGACAAATCAAGCAATTTGAAGACGTCACATTAGTCACATGGGAAATTGTGATGTGATTTTTGTTCTAACATTTTATAGAAAAATTACCAGATTAAACGGTATGTGCATCAACAAATCTTTCCTGACTCCACTCAAATGGAAATATTTGAAGGGCTCAATGAACAATGTTTCTGAAAAGTTACTAATAAACCATGACTATTGGGTAATTTGGGTGAATTTAAAGGAAAAGTGCTTAACGATTTTGTGTTGTTATGCTCAAGGTTTGCTGAGAGCATCATTGTTTGCTGGCATTACGAAGTTCCTTCTGTGTGTGTGTGTGTGTGTGTGTGTGTGTGTGTGATTGAGTGCTTCTCCTGACAAATGTTCCCAATGAATCATTGCTAATGAACAAAACGAGACGCGCTGAATGGAGGAAAGATTGCGATGTTCTTTCTCGTGATCTGGAGCCACACTGTTAATCACATTGTCAGTTCTTTCTCTAAGAATTTGTTCTACTCTAACAAGAGGACCTGTCATCACACAGATTATCTAAGATCTGATTTAGTTTTTTACTCTTGTTTTGAAGCTACAATGAGCACAACTTTAAAAAAAAAGAACAGAAAACGGGGTCCGTCAGCAATAGTTACATCAACTTAATCCGTGTTAACGCTGGTGACTTGATCCGCACAGAGCCAGAGAGAGATGGTCCTCCAGCGTTTACTCCGATAAAGCAGCGTTCAGTGGGCACTAAATCAAGTGCTCTGACACCCAGAGGTAAAAAGGCAAAGAAACCGGCGAGGGTTGTGACTTTTCTTCTGCTCAAATTATGCACACCACACACACACACTAGCATGCAGAAATGCAATGAAGCGTTCCACCTCCTTTACTTTCCAGTCATGTGTGGCTGGCTCCTGTCAGCAACACTGAGTCAGGTGGGAACTGAGATGGGAAAACAAGCAGAAACTGAATGAAAGAAGGGGTGCAGACAGCACCTTTATTCTGCGGTTTTACGACCTCCTAAACGTCCTTGCAAGGTTTTAGGTGGAACCAAATTACAGTCCCTCCGGTGTTTGTGAATCAGAGGTGTTGACAGGCGTGAGTGCCAACAAGGCCGCTCGACAGAGTCAGGGTTAAGGTATGCGGGGGCTTTCAGGCTCACTGAAAGAAAAGTAGAGGGGAAAGATTTCCCTTCACACAAAAGGCGAGGAACAGTCTCGTACCGAGGAGCCGCCTCGTCCTGCTGGGAGGTTATTTTTGGTGTCCCTCAGGGGTCTGACCTCAGTGCCCTTCCCAAATGCTTTGACAAAAGACCCAGAATTACCCCTGGATAATAAGAAAGTCTGCTGCCCCTGAATCACCAACACCAGAGGTGGTGTTCACAAGAGAAATGCAGGTGCATGTGCTCCTTGAAAAGGTGACTCATCATTGGGCGTTCACATTGGGACATGCTGGGAAAAGAGCAGCCATTTATCCAAAGTCCCTCGCTATGTCGTGGTCATGGTGTATTTTAAAGCATCCGCTGTTTGCCAGCTTTCCATCGTATATTGAGGAACTGACAAAGATCCTTTGCAGGATGAAAATAAATGTTTAGGTGCCTCTTTGATAAGAGTATATAACTGCCGTTGACAGGAAGTTTTCCTGGGCTACTTTGTACACGCGGGTGTGACTAATGACCATTAGGGATAGAGTGAGTGTCAGGAAGTGTTAGTGGTACGGTGAGAATGAGCGAATAGTTGGCCCGGGGAGCTGCTGCAGACACCAAATGATGCACACGGAAGAGAACTTGATTCTGCAAAGACTGCGTCGTCTGTGGGTAAACTAAGGCCACCCTCCAAGAATTTTTGACCAATAGCGGTTGCATTTACACACGTATAGAGCAAGTAACACACTATGCAAACTCCCGTAGACAGCATAGAGGTGCCAGATCTTACACACTGCACCTTTTTAAAAAGAAAAGAAAATGTGAGCTGATTTCAAGTTTTCTGTGAGGTTGTTCCAAAAATGTGGTGCATAAATAATGTTTGCTGCTTCTCTATGTTAAACGTTGCCAATTTTTAGAGAGACACCTTTACAGTAGTCGAACCTACTGAAGATAAAAGTCTTTTTATATGTAATCTGTCTGAAAGTGAATGTTAAAATGATTTCTGGCTTGTTTTTTTTGTCATTTTTAACATTACTGATTGAAGGTGAGCACTAACTTTTAATTGTTCTTCATTTAGCTCCAAAAACAATTTGCTGCAAATTGCACTCAGCTCTCTTTCATACTCCGTGCTTGAGCCTTCTGCTCAGTTAAATTCTTCCAGAGTAAATCAACATCCATCTCTTCGTGCAGATTGCTCTCTTTTGCTTCTTGCGTTGCTGTTGCGCACTATAAAGTGAGTCTGTCAGCTTCCACTTTTGGGGGAATTAGCATCTGAAGCCCCTCCACTTGCGCCCTCCTTGTCTCATGAGAACCACTGGTCGGGGGGCCCTGGGAGAGGAGGAGGAGGAGAGAGGAGGATGAAATGTGAACGTTAGGGAAAAGAGAAAGACGGGGAAAGGAGTGGAAAATGCGCTCCGTTAAAACCCGGTGACCTCCGTCTCATAAAACGAAGCAATCGGCAGTATTTTCTGTTCAATAGCCAAAACAATTTGCATCGCTGCAACAGCATGCAAGCACTTTGTAAACTTTGCATTTGGAATAGTGCTGTAAAAGTTAAGTTTATTACTAATTGTCTTGAACCGCTTAATCCTATTAGAGACATGGGGAGCAGGCGCTTATCCGAGCATACCGAGCATCCGCCTGAAGGCAGGGAAACAACTCTGCAGTCAATCACAAGACCAACGGATAAACAGACCGTCTCTCATTCATACCTACACGACATTTAGAAACTCTAATCCACGCGAGTGGGAAACTCATGTAAGCAAGTGGAGAACATGCAGTCTTGGTCAGGTTTAATGTTTGTCATATTTATTGCAATGGTTGGCGGGAATCGGTACATAACCCAGCAGATTTCGCCGTCTGTCTCAGGCTCCCGTTAATCGAGTTACCACGGAACCATTTCTCACCTTTCACCAGCGTCTCATTTCAGACGGGGATGGGGATGATTGTGTGTGACTGTGGCCCACTGGTCTGTGTGATGGCTGCTGAGTCATTGCTAATGTGCAGGCAGTGAGATTTCTCCACAGAGAGAGTGAGTTATGAAGGAGAGGCACAAGATTAATGGCTTGAATAGTCCCCGCCTCTGTAATTTGACTATTGCCTTCGTGAAAACACAAATATTAGTGTTACATTACGCGGCAAAACATTTTCCCTTTCGGGCTAACACAGGGCTCAATAAAGTTGTAAATGTATTGAGCATTAATAGTAGGCTTGGTGACCTACTTTACATTTGTTGACATGCAATTACAACTTTGGCTTTGGGTCATGCACTGATTGTTTTCTTTTACTCACACTTTTGTTTTCCCGTCTTCCCAGGGGTCTCTTACTCGTACGTGCAGGGGCAGGCAGGAGACGAGGACGCAGCAGTGGACGTGAAGCTGTACAGTCACCGGTGGAGGAGATGGCTTCCCCCAAAACCTCGCAACATGGACAGTAACAGGGCGAGTCAGGAGCAGGACCAGGATCCTGAGCAGGAGGAGCCCGAGGGCTTCCCAGGCCTGCTGTCTGCAGAGGAAACGGACAACAGCTCTCAGATAGAGGTAGGTGCTGAGTCACGCCGAGGTCATTAGCAGAGAGAGATGCAACTCTGTCATTTTGTGTTTCCAGAGTCAGAAAAAACAGAAAATATAGTGTTTTATAGTGTTTATTTTCTCTTCTGTGGCTCTGGGGGACTTTTCTAAAGTCTGGAAGAGATGTATAACTGAAAGTTTGCTTAACAAACTGGAGGTGAGAAGATCAATGAAAGACTATCCAGTGCATTATGGGAAGTGTAGCATGCAGGGGTTTTAGAGTTTGAGCCAAACAAGTGACTTGAAGTCAGCATTACTTTTCTTTTTTATGTTTATCTGACTTTACCCGTCTCTTGCAAGTTCCCCAAATGAATGAATGTGCAACGCCACAGTAAATCCCCGGAGCACCTGTTTAAATGTGTCATTAGGCAGAATTAAAAGCCCAACACACCAATGATCCTCCCACACAGGTGTTTGCTTTAACACGCCTCAGCTGAGGTGCTGCGTGGGAATGTACAGACTGTGCTTGATTGACATCTCTCTGGTCTTTCTGTTGCACCTGTTTGGACAGAAGACGTTATGCCGTGTTTGTGTCATTACTAGTTTCCGATTCTTAAATAGTGTCCAAGTCGTAATCATGATGGGAAACTCTGGTCAATATGATGAAACCCAAATGTAATGCATACAATGTTGTATTATTAACGCACAGTATTTTCAACCCTCAATCGACAAACTCTAGTCTCACGACCCTCTAGAGTGGCCGATGAATCTTTGCCCATCGAGGCTTTGTCTTGTTTTTGACCTTATTCCGAATGTAGTATGTTCCGACTAAGACGTGGAATTTGCCGATGTTATTCAGGTTTTAGGAGCATTCTTTGGACTGTTTGTTCTCGTGCACAGCCGTATAAAGAATAGCTTGAAGAACACAGTTTTGCAAAACAGTGACAAGAGTACACCACGAAACTGCAGTTGGACAATTAAAGTTATTTGAAGTGCGTAGCCGTAAGACGTACATCGTGTCGGGTGTGTTTTAGGTTATTCGGAGTATGCACGGCTGCAGGTAATCAGGAATATTAGTGGAATATTTCTTTTTTTTATTAGCCATGAATAGCTTGGTAGGAGTTCTTTCTGGCTATAAGGGCACAAACGTAGACAGTGTCCATCATTTCGAGATTTTTCAGGTTGTGATAAGCGAAGTCATGCAACAGATATTAAAGTGAAAAAGAGACATGAATACAAAGTGCACTGAAAAAAGCTTTCTGTTTATGCTCTATGTTGTATGATATATCAATAATTCAATGTTATTTTATGGAAGGCAACACAATAGAATCAGAGTATGCCATCGTCGTCATCATCTGCCAACTGAATCCAGACTTTATTGTGACTCAGTTGAGATCAGTGCAGCTCCACACAGTAAACCTTCCCGTCTAGTAAAGAAGCCAACTAATATAAAGAGAATGAAACTATAAAGTCCTCTGTTGAGCTGAAACAGAAAATAGTCTTGAGATGCTTCCCTGGAGCAATTATAAATCTCCCTGGAAGATGTTTCTTAATGAAAAAGAAAGACTAGAAGGGGTCTTTTTAATATTTTATATAAAATTAAGCTCAGCCCTCAGGTGTTCGTCTACCTTCTTCGTGGGGCTGGATCCTCGTAAACCTGACCTCGGAGGGACCAGAACAGGAAATGAGCCCGGCCTCCCACAGTTTTGAGGGGTTAGTGGAGCTGCTTGAGATGAATAGCCGGGTTCGGCTTGTGTTTGTGTCTCTGTAAATGAAAGGCATTACCCGTGTCCCCGTGTTATGGCGCCCGGGCCTGCACACAGTATCGAGGCGTTCAGTTATAATGATGGCGGCCACCTGGGCTTAGACAGCTCGTTAAGTCTTCCTGTGGCTTCTAATCATCTCGGGTTCAGACCCTCGCGTCTCTCAGTCGAGGCAGCTTTGATCGTCAGCTGTAATCATTCACACGCAGACATTTACATAGGGACACAGTCGACACACTTGATTGTTTTCGCTCTCTCGGGCTCATTTGTTGTTGCAGAATGGAAAAGCAGTCCACGGCACAAACACCCCGTCGTTCCTCCTCTCATCACTCAGCGCACACGCATTGCCTCACCTGCCTCCAACACTCTTTGTGGATATGAGAAACGCCTTCATATTCAGAGGGCAGAGACTGTGGACGCTGAGCTGAAATCTTCCAAAGCAGCAGTGAGCTGAATGGATTTAAAGGCTGTCTCCTCTGATGTGAAGAAGCTTTAACTGAGGGAGTCAGAGGAGGGAAAATCTACTCCTCGACGCTTTCACAAAGCTGTTTCTCATCGGGGTTTCATTGTGTGTTTTGTCTGTTTCAGTCAATCATTTGCTAAAGAAACATCAGAATCTCTTTCTGTAAATGCAGTGTGTCCCTGGTGCACTAAAGTCTGTTGCAGCTACTTCCTGTGTAGGAACAGACTTCTCCTACTTTCTTAGGATTGATTTGTTTTTATACTATTTAATGACTTTTGCTGAAAAATAGTGAGTTTAGAAGGAAAATGGTATCGATCTTCTCATCTAAAAGTCTGTAAAAAAGTAAATAGGCATATGTTCCCAAATGGCAAACTAATCCTTTAAAGTCACACAACGTATGTTTTGCCAGTTAGCTGTTAAAATAAATAGTTTTAATTTCCATAAATCAGGTTTCCACCTCGTGATGGCCTTCATAGTCTTTGCTCTGAGGTCAGTCTGTGTTTGGGTTAACTGATGCCGTAACACGAGTTTCCAACAACAGATTCATGCAGGTTTATAACAGTGGCCTTAACAGCAGACTGTCTGACGCCCTGAATGACTGCGACTCTCTGTGTAAGCTATCGGATTAAACGGCATTCAGGTCACAGTAGAATAAGGCAAAGTTGGAACAAACCGTGGGAATAGTCAGTAATGGCTTGTGGCGGTTGTGTGTTTGTTGTTTGTCACTGCATCTTCCAAAGTGCAGCTTCATAACCCCAGCTGTTAGGATGTCATGTAAACTGACAGTTTGTGTTTTATACATTTTTTTTTTGTTGACATAGCAATTAAGGAGCAATGTATTTAACATTCTGAACATTAAATGGCAGCAAACAACTATTTGCTATGTTAAGATATAGTGGAGTATTGCCTCTGTGTGTGTTGTTATCTGAGCTTCTCCTTGCTTTGTTGACATGGCCGGGAATGTTCGTGCATGTGAGCGTGCCACACTGGTTAGCGCACGGCCGTCGCTCTGCAGTGAGCACCGCTAGATATGAGCCACCTTACTTTGAAAGCATGGTGTAGATTGATAACATATAATGGGAACCAGTATTGAAAAACAATGTGTTTTCTTAATTTGATGGACCACTTAAGCTGCCTCACAAGAAAAGGAAGTCGGTGTAAATGAATGACTGGATCATTGTGAACATCTATCACGCTGCTAAACACAGCTTCAAAAAACACAATCTCCTCATTCATTTCAACGGGAAAAATGACTGTATACAGCTGAGCTCGCTCAGTCCAAGCCGTCACCTGGAAAGCCCCCGTCTGCACACCAAAGCGAGCCAACATGGGTCCTCCTGACCTCTTTGGGAAAATAGTTTTAAACGTAACTCACGGCTGTCAGGTGGCACCATGTTAAGACCTATCTTTATTGAGGAGCATAAACAAAACACACAAACACAGACTGCAGCAACTTGGATGATCGATTGTACAGTCTGCTCTTTTTTTTCAAATCCTTTTTTTTTTTTTTTTTTTTCCCCAACACCTCAAATGAAGCCAAGAGAGACGTATAACTCCTCTGTGTTCCCTCAGAAGCAATGTGTACATTTGATGGTCTCATTTTCACACCTGGCTGTTCATATCTACAGTAAAGTACAGCCTGTCCTGAGAATTTAACCTGTCAGGTTGCCAATAAAAGCAGACAGACAGTGTATTGGTGTTTGGGGAGGGGGGTTGTATTGCTTTGATGGGTAGTAATAAGGGTGGGGTTCATGGTTGTTATTGGATGTCTGGGACTCCACAGCTCAGGGGGCTCTTTGGGGGTTACATGCTTCACTACATTCCCTGTTTATTTGTTTATTTCTTAAGGGGGAGAATTCACGCAGCGAGGCAGCGAGCAGCTCGGCTTGCTAATTTTCATTACTTCACTTGCGTCCCAGTGCTGCTTTTACCCTTGCCACGCTCCATATTCAGACCCTGCAGTGAATGCAAATCATGTTTTTTTTTGTTTTTTTTCTCTTCCTCTGTTTGTTTTGCTTGTCAAGTTTGTTAAAAGGTTCCCAGAGGATAATGTGTTTGGGAAGAGATGTTTACTTGTCTTTTTGTAGTTCAGTGTTTAAACTCTGTAATGCTATATCATCTCAGGCAGCTGTACTGCTTGGGGCTGCTCTACAGATGAACCTGTAGCTGTTTAAATTTCCGTGTGTGTCCGGCCTTTAACTGTCTGCCTGAGCGTTCGTCTTCTGGTGTTAAGAGCTGTGGGCTTTTCTGAGTGGATCAGCCAAGATTTTTGGTTTGCAGTTATTTCTTCAGATTAACAGAAAAGGTGGAGCGTTTGTGAATTGTGAGCGTACCTCTACGTCCTTCAACATCACTTTGAAATACAACCACCTGCTGTTTGAACCCATAAGACAGCTTGCAAAGCCAATTCATGAGATTAACAACCAATGAAGAAGAAGACTAGAATTATATATCAGCTGCTGATAAAAAAGTTCTTAAAACCTGATAAATTCTTAAATTCACAGCATTTGCTGTTTCAAGTTGTGAAAGCAGACACATAGCGCTAATTTACATACCACTGACACATGAATGTTTATCCAGTTGTAAAGTCACCTGGCTGGATTTCTTACAAATTTTCGAGTGTGATCTTTGCCTGGTACCAGACCTTCAAATCCGCCAACTCCCCCGAGTCCAATGATTCGTCCGGGATCGAAACCTGTACAGCCATGTCCTCTGGGCTCTGAGGGACCTGAACCCAGAAACCCAAGTCAGACTGTGTACAAAACTTTATTGCCGTGGTCTGTGTGTCATCATGTCAAATACCTGTGACCTCTACATCATACTAATGTATCCACACTATTATTAAAAGGAATCAGGTGGTGCTGCACAGACCAGTATGTAGTTTCACATAGTTGAACACACATACATCACCAGTACCATGAAGCTACTACGACTGGCAGGAGACGGAGCAGAACGATGAATAATGGATCACAGGCATCAGCTGATGAAGCGCTGGACACATGAGCGATGGCATGCTTTTAATGTTTTCTCAAACAGGCCTGTGTGTGTGTGTGTGTGTGTGTGTGTGTGTGTGTGTGTGTGTGTGTGTGGGTCATACTATCTATTGGAAAAAGAGGGCTTGCTGACAAGCGGCTTAATCCCAATACATTACAATAATTAATCAAAGCTCTAGTGTGCTTGTGCAAAGGTAACATTTTATTTTCTCAAGAGCAAAGACGTGGTTGCAGTTTTCAGTGTACTCCTTTATTTTTCTGACAAACATTGTTGAATGAGCCGCGACTACGTCTTCAGCAGCAGTTTTGAGACACATCTCAAAAACATCTTACTTTCTGAAGTAAAACCCCCTAAATGACCTCATAAAGATGAAGTCAGGGAATCCCGTGTTATGGAGCCATCGAGAAGAGAAAACAAGAAATTCAGGCCTAAGTATAATACAATATTGATGTGGTGGGCAGCTTGGGATAGAGATGTGAGTGAGTCCTTTCTGCAGTTTGTTTTTGTGCTCTTGAGACAGAAAATGGTCTATTATAGGCAGCGCTTCTTGTTTTTTTTCCATCACTATCTAGTTTCAGTTCAGCCAGAAGCTGAGTGACGAGGTCACAGTCGTCCTCTCACTCCTTCGTCATGTGGCCATCTATCTTCCATTAGCCTCCCTTGAGCACCTTCAGTGCAGCTCAGTCTCATCTCCACACTCTCGTGTCTCTGCAGGAGAATGTGAACTTAACCCATTAGAGTTGCCTATAGTGTGTATCACCATATAATATTACAGTACAGAATGTATCCAAAAATGCTTAGAGACAGGCGCTAAAACAGAGCTTTTCAGACAGAAGGTGAATACAAGTATAGTCAGACAGACAGTATGAGAAAAACAATGTGTTGTTCAACATTAAAGCATGTGAGCATGTTCTACTAGAAACCCAAAATACAAGTATAAACCTGAAAATTAGCACCATATGGCCCCTTTAAAATGGCATAAAATATATGTTGAAATAGGTTCAGTGGAATATATTGACAGGACAGTAAAAAAAAAACAGTTTCAAATAAACAGACAGTCCTGCAAATGCCCATGACGGTTTTTGAATCGTCCTTGAGGAATGTTTGCCTTCATTTGATAGCCGACACTACAGAGGTGACAGGAAATGAGGGGAGAGAGAGAGAGAGAGAGAGAGGAGGGATGATCGCTACATCACTGCTTCACAAGGATTTTACATTTTCCCTATCAGCCATCACCTGTCCCGGCAACATGCACATTCAGACCCACACCCGACCAAAACGAGGCGTAAAAATGCAGAGATTCAGCTCAGGTACTGTGAGGAAATTAGCAATATATATCACTGTCATTTCATAGCTTCTAATAAACATGTTAAAATATTCTGCTCGCTCTTCCTGTGGGTGATTTGTGCAAAGAACTTTTTACATTTATAGAACGTCAGCAGTAATTTTACAGCTCAGGTTTTTTTTGTTCCTGTGAGTGAAAAGTTCAGCGCGTCCAATAACCACTGTAATTGTTTTTTTTTATGCTCCACCAGCTGTTTTTATTTTGCGTTTGACAATGTGAGTCAGCACATTAAAGACACTCGCTAGTGCCGTCAGGATTCTCAAGGCGTATTCTTGTCAAAATGTATCTGAGGTCACACATGACTCAGTCTACCGTGGACAGCTGCAAGATAAAGTGGTGAATGTTCAAATTATGGATGAGTTATATACTGTAAAATGCAAAAAACAACTCGTTCCTGTGTGAGTACGGCTCCAACCTGAGACGAGTGTTCATGTCAGCTGATTTCTTGTCGTAAGTGGGTTAGTACCACACTTCTCTTGCTGGCACATTTTGGCACATGTTTGCAGCGCATGATTTAAAGAAACAGTCAGTACCTTCTTCCCACAACCTCCCACCAAAACTCTCTGTATAGTTGTGTATTTCTGTTTGTGTGAGCCTGTTTATCCGGTCCCTTCACTGGCCCCTCCACCTCTGGGGAGCCTCCATCTCCCTCGATCCTTCCAAAACACATCTTGAGCTGATTAGGAGGAAACTTTAAAGTTGTGCATTTGTGTCTACTCCTTTTACAAGTGCCCTTGTTTTCTATTCTGAAAGTAATGTGCTGACTAAGGCTACCCGGAGGGGCGTTTTTCCCTTGACACGATTTGTCTGCACTTTAAGCCGTGATGAAAGGCCTCTGGCAGTGTTCGCTTAAATCTACAAATTGATCAAAAGTAAAACCACCTACATGGCTGAGCTCCATTTGGGTTTCTGATTTTTATCAATCCCACAGAGGCTTTGCTAAGCTTGAAACATTATCTCTCTGTTTTGAATATTATGTAGCGGTATTCCATTATAACTCTCTGAGGGAAATATGAATCCTCAAAGCAAAACGAGCTGAACAGGGAAGGATTGTGCCTTAATTAATGCTTGTCTCGTGGCCTTTTGACAACCGTAGCTCAGAATATAACCACTTACGTATCAAAGTATGCACAGAGCTGTGTGAGGTCCTGTTAGTGAGATCACAGTCAGCCGTAGTGTACACTCTCCTGGCTCGCCATCCAGCAAAACATTAACTTTAACAATGTTTTAGATACAAGACACAGCTGTAAGGTATCTCATTAGAACCCAGGGGGAAACAGACGAGCAACAGGAAGCCCTCGACACCAGCATTCGTCCTAATCCTGCACAGGAAATAATAAGAGCAGACGGGCCGCTCCCACATGGCTTATAAAAGTCTGCAAATGTTTATCTTATTAAAGGCAATTCTGACTGCGCAGTCTGGTTTTAAAGAGTGGAAGAAGTTGATTGGCTTCTTGTTTTTTTATTTATTATTATCGGATTAGTAGACAATGAAACCTCTTTGTGTGCTGATTGTGCCCATAATGAAAAACCACAGAGTTGAATGAAAGGACAAAGAGAACGCACACATAGTGGAAATGATTGCATTGTCATATAGTGTAATTTAGGAGGTACTTTGTTTTGCAGCAAAATTAAGAAATATGTACTCTTAATTATCCAGATTCTATTGCAACTAACCGTCTTATTAGTTTGCTTTGAATTTGATTTGGGCTCACAGGATGTCTGTGTATTGTGTTAGCTGTGCACCGTATAATAATAATAAGGGCTTAATTAACAGACCAACACAGAAATATCTACTCTCTCCTTCAAGCTGTATTTCATTCCTCTAAATCACTTTATTATGCGTCTTCACAGTCTTTATTCTGTATGCAAACTCACAGGGTGTGTTTTGTCACTTCTGCAGGAGGACACCGATCACAACTACTACACATCGAAAACATACAACCCGTCGGATGCGATGAGCAAGGACTTGTGGGTAGACACGGACCAGATGGACAAGGACAAAGTGAAGATCCACGGGATTCTGTCCAACACACACAGACAAGCAGCGGTAAGTCAGCCGACTACATGAGGGGAGAGTCTTTATCTTTCAGTAACATTCATTGGGAGGCCTGTTGCTTATTGTCATTAAGTTAGCTGCAGTTTGAGCTGTAAAAGATGTTTTCAACTAAGGCTGCAACCAACAATTAAATTCACTTTCAGTTGGGTTCTCAATTAACCGACTTAGTCTATAAAAAACAAAAGATGAGGTTTTGTCCGACCAACAGTCCAAAACCCAAACAAATTCAGTTTATAATGATCCTCACAAAAAGGAGAAGCAGGAACCAGAACGTTTTTGGTGTCTTTTGTCAGTGTTTATGCATAGGTTACTATGTTTGGTACATGTGTACTTGACTATGGGACAGACTATTGTAACAGTTTTTACTACAGTACAGTATGTTTATTTCCTCTACCATTAAAAACATGGATATATCAGTCATTCCTTTAAGCATCTAAACCGTTAAAAAATCTTCTGCAGTGAAGTTTAAAAGCGTCCCTCCATCCAGCTCTGCACAAGCAGGTGACCCATGTGAGGTGCATACTGATGAGGTCACCCAAGGCATCATTTAGTGACTGGAGAGACAGAGCAGCAGGGCAGTCACAGACGAGAGAGAGAGAGAGAGAGAGAGAGAGAGAGAGAGAGAGAG